CCCCCCTCCCGCCCCCGGGGGTGGTGCAGGGGGGTCGAGCTTTATGTCAATGGATGTCCCTCTTCGAGGTGAACAACTTTTATTGCAACTTTTTTTTAATCCGATTTGTATTTTTCCAAATATTCTGAAAAACAGTTTTAAATGCCTCACCCTGTATAAATTATATTGTTTTCCAGCTAAAAAACGATATGGATAATTATGTGCGCTTCTGTTTAATGGGTGGACCAATAAAACTGAAATCTGGAATTGTGCCACACATTTTTACTTGTCAACCTGACAGGAAGCGAACAGCAAATTATCCCCCTCGTCTTGCTTCTGAAAAGCGAAGACGTAAAGCAGAGATTTCTGATATTTTGGCTATTGCTGAAAAGTCCACATTGTCAGATATCGAACAGACGGAAGATAGAACACCGAATATTCCAATAGCAAGTGTAAGAATTAAAAAACAAATTTTATTAAAGTATAGTAATATGAATGCTGAAACTAATATCATAAAATGATTTTAGGAAACAATGGTTCAATCTGTAGAAGTAGAAAATACAAACTTAGATAGTCTTGCCAGCACATGTCCTAATGCTGATACAATCCATAGAAGTTTTCATCATAAAGGAGTACAAGTTAACATACGCCCACACGTTCGTAGTAAATATGTATCTTGCAATTTTACAGTTCCTATGTCTAATGCAAGTTGTTCCCCGATTAAGCTTCAAACTATTTCTCCATCTGTAAAAATTATTCCAAGTACTAGCAAACAGTTAAGCACAGATGCTTCGTCGATGTTGGTATCATCTTCTACCTTACATTGTACAACTTCGAGCGATTTTGAGCCTTATTCAGATGAAGCAAAAGAGATTGAAAAGAATAAACGACAACAAATGCAATCTAATGCACTTTCGATTACAAATTATTTTATTAGTACTAATACTAAAAGTTATCTCGGTATTCTAAATGAATGGTACTGGATTGTAGACCTCTTACACTCACAGACTAAGATTCTGCCAGATCATATTAAATTAACGTTAATGAAAATAAAAATAAATGACACCTTTCATAGATTAGGGGAACAATTTGGAATATCACATGCTCAAGCCAGCAACATATTCAACTCCACTGTACCGCGTTTGACTCACATGTTAAAAACTCTGATATACTTCCCAGACCCAATGAGTATAAGAAAAGCTTTGCCAATTCCATTTCGAGCTAATTATGCTAATGTACAATCGATAATTGATTGTTTTGAAATACAGATCCACAAGCCAACAAATTCTGTACATCAAGCTCTTACTTGGTCAGAATACAAAAAATGCATACTCTAAAATATTTGATATCATCAACACCTGATGGGTTTATCAATTTTGTCTCTACGGGTTACGGAGGTAGAATCAGTGATACACTACTTACTGAACAATCTGGATTTTTAAATGTCTTACCGGATGGATGTGGCGTTATGGCCGACCGAGGATTTAAACAAATCCAGAGTCTTCTCAATAAAAAAATGCATCCTTATTCGTCCTCCCACTGTTACTGCTGGTGTAAAACCCTCTAAGGCCGAAGTTTTAGAAACTAAACGCATTGCAAGTTTATGTATACATATTGAGCGTGTGATTAGACGATTAAGGGAATATGAAATGCTGAAACCGGATGTATGTATTCATCATAACCTTCTGCGTCATACAGATTTGATAGTACTTATTGCATCGGCATTAACTAATTTGCAAACTCCGATAATAAAAACATGAAAATCATGATACGAAAGTAAAGGACAAATTGCATAACTGAAAGAAAAGAAACAAACAACATATGTGACATCTTCATTGTGTAATTTTGTTTATTCTGTAAAGATACATATAAATATATTGATATGAGATTCTTAAACTTTTGTGTACATTATTTTTGGAAAAATAAAACGTTTCCAGAAAGCTACAGCGTTTTCTATTATGGAATTCATGAAATCCTCATTATAATTTTCCCAAACAATTGTTACTTGTCTAGATTCTTCAAAATTTGGATCTGCGACGCAAAAGAGGCCTCTTTTTTTACCAGAGGCAAACATTTGCATATGTATTTGCGCTTTACATTTATTATTGATTTTTCCGGATGGCAAAAATTGCTGAAACGTTTTTGAGGATGATGGACACTTTACTTCGACAACAAAATTGTCGCCCAAGGCATCAGGCGATGCTCCTAATACTGAAAATGATGGTAACAAGAGCAAACCACAATTTTGGAATCGCAGCCCTGTCCTTTGTTTTACCTCAAGTAAAACCTCTTTCTCTAATCGTTTTCAGTAGGGTATATAGGCCGGTTCTAACCCATGGGGCTCCGAGGGGGGAGCGGGGCGGGGGGGTACCCCGTGGCGAGGGGACAGCAGGGAGGGGGGTACTCCGGGGCGAGGGAACCGCGGGGAGGAGGGGGAGTACGCGACCTTGACGTCACGCAAGGTGTTGACCTGTCACTACGTGACATGTAACAGATATCTAGGTGCTGACCTGTCATCGAACACCTGGGCGGGTATGAGTCACGGGATCAAGCGCCGAAACCTGGCTGATGACTTTCTTATCAAGGCGCATGATGTCAGAGAGTTCCACGCTTATTATT